TATTCACAAACAAATTTACGGAGTAATATTATAAGTTAAAATGGCTTCAAGAATATCTTAAGCAACAATTGTATATATATTTTTTGTAATAGATTATTATCAATTAAAATGGCTTAAAAAATATCTTAAGCTACAAGCAAAATACACAAGTTCCTCCTCTGTGAAAATAGAAAGTGTAAGAAATAATGCTGAGAAATTAAATTTGGACTTTCGTGCAAAATAAATTACTCTGTATTACAATATGCTTTTAATGATAAAATCTATTGGTTACTCCGTCCCTTATATTTTTGCCAATTTTCCTTTTTTGGTTATGCCAAAAACTTTGCCACTTTCCATTTTAGTTAATCAATTTGTTGCTCTTGTTATTTCTCTCTCCTCTGCACAAATATCTACCACACAGTTTTTACTTTATTATTCTACGTGGCGGTCAAACTTGGCAAACCTTTAAGGGACGGAGGGAGTAATTCTTTTCACTAAAGAAGCAGTGTTTATATCTCGTACAATTTGATGGCAATATATATATTGTAATCACAAATAGTTCATAAGTGACTAAAAAAGTTGTAACTAAAAAAATATAAGTAACTTCATTATGACGATTTTGGTACTGTCACAATAAAAAAATATAGAAATTTTGTTGGGATTGTCACTATATGTTATGTTTTGTTGACAATTTAAGATTTTGTCATTTATTGTGTGGATTATTGGTGACAAAATGGATATTTAGATGACAAAAAAGTCGATAAAAAGGTGACACATTTGGCGTCACGAAAAGTGATTAAAATGGCGACGAAGTGCTAAAACGTCATTTAATGTTATTTATTTGGTGACGAATCAAAATTTTGTCACATATACCTAATACCACGGAACTACGATGACGATCACTGTGACGCTCATAATTCGTCATATAAAAGTTTTAATGACAAAAAATGAATTTTACATGACGGGAAAAATTGTCACATTATGTCAAGATTCTTGTAGTGTAATGTTATGGTTTCTACGTATTTGTTGGATATTTTTTATCTTTTAAGTAATGGTTAGTGCTCTCTTTTTAACCATAATATTATAAATATGTTTCGTTCATTACTTTGATCTATATCAATATTCCATGAGACAGATGCTGTCATCAATTGATAGTGTAATTTAAATTAGTGAACATAAATAAATTTGAAAGAAAAATTCTATTAAGTGCATGACACGAGTGAGTTTACTAGTGTGTTTAAATGTATAAGAAAACATTTTTTTTTTGTTTAAAACAATACGGAGTACTCCCTCTGTTCCTATTAAAACTTCTAACATTCCTTTTTCGTTCGTTCCAATTAAAACTCCAATTTTCACTTTTTAGTAAAGAATTTGTGGTTCACAACATTCTTACACATTTCTCTCTAACCTGCACAACTCTCTACCACACAATACCCACTATATTAAATTGTGTGCCACACCTATTTGGAAGATAAAATAGGAACCGAGGAAGTATAATTTTCTAAAATAGATAAAACTCTAATATTATTCATCTCAAATCAAATCATAAAATGTTCAACTCCATTGAAACTTGATTCGAATTAATCCTTCTTTATCGTATATCAAACTTGATTCTATATAGCTCAACTCACTCGATTAGCACCTAGTCCCCCAACTCTTGAAATGGGCCAGATGCAATGTATCATCTTCTAATGTTCAGCCAAAAGCCCTAGCCCTAGGCCGATACCTTATATAATACCGCTGTAAACCTAAACAAAATCACCAGTTCCCCATATAGTTAAGATCTAGTAGCTGTTGAGCGGTGTTTTTTCCTCGATTGAGCGGATTCAGTCCTTGATAAATCACCGTATGGATAATCCTATGCCTTTTGTTCATTCTCAATGCCTAAGCGATCTCGATTTCTGATTTCATAATCTCCTATCGCTCTCTATTTTTGATTTGAAATTTTAAAACTGTTTTCAATATCTATGATCGATTGCGATGAGGATTCCAAGCTCCCTCTTCTGATTAAGGTTGAGGAAATTTGCAGGCAGAATCGAACCATTAACTTTAGCCACCACTGAGCAATCGCTGTTTTTCTCTTTAACAAATTTTAGGTTTTTTAAACCTCAGATCCGTTAAAATTTCTTCATCGGTTCATCAGTCTCTTGAGTTTTCTATGATCTACCAGTGACTGTTGATATCAGTATCAATTTTGTTATTTATTTTGAAAATATTTCGAAAAAGCGCAGATCGCAATGATGACTCGCAATATTCAAGCTCAACAGACCGGAATGCAGGCTTCTGCTATATTTAGTATAATCATGCGTGTCGAGTATCCCGCTGAACTGAGTGATCTCTATAGTTTAATCAACCTACAATTTTTATTGTGTTTCTTGAAATTCTATCTGGATCTGTTAGCTTTAAAGTTTGTTTACCTATCTTGATGTGGGATTGTTGAACATGATAAGGATGAAGTAAAATCAGCATTCCAACACTTGGACTGAGAGGTGTCAACCCTCGAAAGATGCAAACAAAATTTTGCTACTGAATCATCCTTTTGAATGTTTATGACTTATTTGTATGGTTTAAAAGGATCAGATGATGACACAATCAATAATCTTAGGACACCTTTGGACACGGCCTATGGCTGTGGGTGAAAATAATATTTGGTCTGATGATTATGACTAAGAGGTTGAATGTTGTTGTAGAAATTATGTGTTAGCGTTTGATTTAGATGTCCACTGCCTCAGATCGTAATGAGAGATGACTATGTAAAGTGCTTCTTCTCATTGAGAAATCTGATTTCTATAGAGGCAACAACAATGTGGCAAGATATCGTTTCATTCGTCAAGTGTAATTGGCGATTTGATTGTTGCTTCTCCATATTTCTTGCTGATGATTTCTGTACAATTGAAGAACAAAACTTTCACTTTTTAACCAGTTTTATTTCTAGATTAAGAAAATTGTTTTTGATTTTAAATCTGGAACAATAAGATTTTGAAAAATGAACATTCGAAGTTACCCAGTTTGATTTCCTAAGTTATGGTTGATTTTTCCTCCCTTTTATTTTTTTCTGAGGACTGACTTGAAGGTGAATCTTTGAGGAAAAAGAGGTTACCCTGTCAGCTGGTTCAACTATTGTAATGGTTGTACGTAGGCAACGTCAAGTCCTGTAATATACGGAGTAGTTTATTTTTTTCTTGCTGTAATCCTGGATATTATACGGATTATCAAATTATCAATTATTTAGACTTGCCCAATTTTTCTATGTCTGAAAGAAATTTATTTATTCCATACCAATAACACTAGTCACTAGGTATAAAAATCATATCAAGTCATGTATGATAAACAAAATTATATAGGGATTATCGGGATGGACATGTTCATAACGTCTGGTCAAGGCAGAGTGGTATCTTTAATGTGATACCGTCTTTGCTTAAGTAATCAAAGGCTACTGATCAGAGACAAAAGTTCACAAAACTATCAGTGATTTTGGACAAAGATATTTAAGGATACAAAAGCATCAAGTATTTGCCAACTCGGTAGCGATGCACCCTACTTTCTGTATACTTGCTTTGCCGCTCGTAATTATAAAACTAGAAAAATTATAAAACCTAGATCGTGAACTAGAACACACGTAAAATACAAAGTCAATTGAAGAACAAATGAATTGGAGCATTGACCATATGACAGTTGGACGTCGTAACTGACTTGCATTCTCAGGGATGAGGTGTCTATACTTAGGATTGTAAGTAAGAAGATTAGACATAGAGCAAGCACCTATAAAAAACATACTGATTCGCGAGTTTAGGAGGACAATGGGTTGCTACAATATTGGTGAAAAACAAATCCCTCTCAAGGATGTGGAGGGCAACACAACTAATGAGCTGCAAATAGGAGTGGACTCGGGCTGGGCCAACCAGCCTGGTGGGATGGTGGTTTGGGCTCGGGCCCTTCAAAAGGTGAACCAGCCCGGGAGCTAGGGCCAATTTTTTTTGATTTTTTTTTAAGTTTTTGGGTTTGCCCGGGTATTTTGGGTCATTTGAGGTGGTTAGGGTTGGTTTGGGGGTGAGGAGGAGGGTTGACGATTAACTAGGAAAAGCCAAAAGAAAAAAAAATAGACTCGAGGCCCGGCTCGGCCTGGACTCGAGGGTTACCCGGTCCGGTTCCGGAGGCCCGGCTCGGCCAGGACCCGGGGGTTACCCTTCATGAACCGAGGCTCGGCCTGGCCCAAGCTTGAACTAGGCTCGAACCGGAACCGGTCCATCCCTTGTTGCAAACTTTAGTCGACAGAAACAAGGGTGAACCTGTTCCAATCATTATGAACAATGAAAGAAACAAAAAATATGTGAGAGATAGGAATGGAGACAAGCTGAACAAAGAAGACAAAGTATTAATGGCCCGCCCCCTCTTGAACCATCACCTTGGAACGACCAAAGAGCGAGAGGGATCGGAGGTTGACGCTTCACGGTGGGATTAGGTCACTTGTGCTCTGTATTCTATTTTTCGTTCAAAGTTTTATTTTGGGATTCAACTCCATTTCCAAAAAAGTGACTTGTTTCAAAAATTGACAAAAATGTGACTAATGAGTTCATAGATTTGTAAAAATATGTTGTAACTATAGATAATTATGTCATTGCGATTTTATCATGTCACCGAGAAGTTATCACTGCCAGATTTCATGTAACTTATGAATGTCACTGTCGCTGGAAATATGTCACTGTCTTCGGAAATGTGTCACTGTTAGGGGAGAGCACGGGTCAGGTTCGGGTGGGTCGGGTTGCGAAATGGTAAACCCGTTCGGGTATATTGTTTAACCCAACCCTTAAAGAAAATGGTAAAAATTTTCGGATATTTTAAGTTTCGGATTCCTTCGGGTATGGGTTGGGTTTCGGGTATTTCGGATATCCAAACTTTTGAACTAATTTCTCAACAATTTAGTTCTTTTAACAAAACGAGTTGAAAATGCATAACACAATTAAGAAAAATAACACAATATACAACTTACATAAGTAAGTAACTACATTCAGCCATAAGGGACATATATGATATAGATAGATCCCAATTGACAAAGTAGAAGTTTGAGTGTTAAGTGTTTAACAAAAGTTACAAAAATTACACAATAAAAGGCGCATACCCCAGTTCATAAAGAAAGACAGTTAATGAACTTACTAGTTCATAAACCGACTAACCAAATAATGTTTAATAGTGTTTAACACATAACAAAATAATCATAACATACATTGACAAAAACAATCCGTAAGCGCCCATTCAACTGTTTATACTTCCTTCAAACTTGCACCTATAAAAAAAATACAATAATGTCATTAAGTACTAAAGTACATATCAAGCCTCTAAACAAATTATATTGTTAAAAAACTGTAAATCTGTAATCATCACACTGTCTAAGGTAAATATTGGCTCAGATAGCTAATTTTCAGATCATATTTTGTATGGGGGCATATTATATCAGTAAATGACAACAACTATAGTTACCTAGCCATAACTTAACAGAACACCAACCCATGACAAATCAGTTTGTTGTGGAAACTTCATCATAGCGAAGTAATTGAGTAATGATTGACATGATAAAGGGAGAACAAACGTGTATTACCATTAAATAGTTAACAAGTGACATAGGCTCAGATAGCTTATTTTCCAATTCAAATTTTGTATGGGGGCATAAACATTTGAAGTAACTGGCGATAACTATAGACCTAAAGTTACCAAGCTAGCACTTAAAAAATAACACCAACCCATCAAAAATCAGTTGATTGTGGAAGCTTCATCATAGCCTATTACCCAATAGATGATTGAAATGATTAAAGGAGAATAAGCTCGTGTTACAATTCATTCTAAGTTCAGAAATCACAAGGGGCAAATGGGCAATAAGCTTGTGTTACCATTCATTACTAGATTTATTGCTTCCATCATCCAATCAAACTGCTAAACAAATTAGTCATTCACACCGTCAAGTGTCAACAATAAATAAGTAATGAAAGACATGAAAGTAGTTTTTTACTGCAATAGGATCATGAGAAGATCCACCAACATGACCATCAGGATCAGCAATGACATTACCATCAAGTAATTCTGCAAAAAACAACATGTTTAATGTACAATAAAACATATGAAGTATATTATACGTAAAAGAAAAAAACGACATGTATAAGCATAATCAGAGTACCATAATCAGAGTAGTTGGACACATAATCATTAAATAACCCATGCAAAGCAAGTTTGATTTTTTCAAAGAACTTCACACCCTTTGGTTGAGTATAAAGGGCATTCAGTTGAAAAGGCATGTATTCAAGCTTGTCCTTTGGGTCAAGCACATTTGCAAAAAATATCAGATAGTTCATTTTCTCTGGGTCCCCCCAATATTTATCCAGTTTAGATTTCATAGTAGAGCCCATTTTACTTGTGGAAGCCTTGAGAGACTTCATCATGTCTTGAAGCACCAGAAATAAATCAGAAATTTCAGAGGAGAAAGTATTGGAAGTAACATACAAAGATCCAGAAATCCTTAAGGTCATTTCATAAAAACTTTCAAGAACTGACACTAAGGATTCATAGTTCAGCCAATCACCAATATCAGGCACTTCTGCACCTAAATCAGACCCATAACAACTTTCATTCTCCTCATATTCTTCAAAAACTCTTTCATTGGATAATGTTGACTTCAACATCTGATAGGTGGAGTTCCACCTAGTTGGGACATCTAGGTGCAGGCCACATTTGGACTCTGCTCCTATCAAATCAGATATATCCTTGAATTTTTGGAGCCTAGAAGGAGAATTCCTAACATACTTCACTGCTTCCCTAACCCTCACTACAAATGTATCAGCATCTTTCAACCCATCTTGGACTGCCAGATTCAAGATGTCGGCAATACATCTCATGTGTAGGTACTGCACTCTAACATGAGAAGCACCCCATGACATAAATTTTTTCTTTAAAATCCTATTACAGTATCATTACTGCTTGCATTATCAACAGTCACAGAGAATATATTCTTTAATCCCCACTCTAATAAGCAATGTTCTAGGGCCTTGGCAATGTACTCCCCTTTGTGGGAAGTGACTTGCACAAAAGAAATCACCTTTTTCTGTAACTTCCAGTGACTATCTATGAAATGAGCAGTAATACACATGTAGTTGATCCTCTGAATAGAGGTCCATGTGTCAGTTGTTATACTGACCCTTTGGGTGGTCTCTTTGATCAACCTTTTAAGGCTCAGCTTCTCATCTAGATATCAAGTCTGGAACAATCACCAAGGTGATTTACAGAATAGTATAAGCATTGGGCTTAACTATTCTCTACAAACTTAGAAGAACCAGTCAACTCTAACTACTCAGCTTGAGTGTTTGAGTCAAGCAGGTAACTTCTACAACAACAATAACCAACATGTAATAGGCAACATTCATACATATAACCTTACACAGCTTCCACTATGACAATTCAGAAAGAAGCAATCATTCTTTCATCATCAATCATTCATTCATCATTTCAAATCATTCTCAGTCAAGGCAGCCATAGAAATCAAGTCTGGAACAATCACCAAAGTGATTTACAGAATAGTATAAGCAGTAGGCTTAACTATTCTCTACAGACTTAGAAGAACCAATCAACAACAACAATAACTAACATGTAATAGACAACATTCATACACACAACCTCAAGCAAAGACATAACAATATTTTATACATAATTACAGTTTCGGACAGACATGCCAACAATACAGTTTCAACATCATGTTTTACTTCCACACCCCAACATTCAAGGCTGCTCGAGTCACACAATAAACAACAACTCACAAGTCAGTAAGTCACAACCACAATTTACACACTCTTCATCACGCAGAGAATAGAAGTTATACCTCATGCTTGAGTGTGACTGATATGAGAGATTGGGAGACTAAGAGTGAGCTTAGGTTTACCAGAAGGTCCAACCGAAAAAGGGGAAAATCGGGCAATGCTTCCACAGTTCAACTTCCGATCCGATGACTTTAGGGTTTCAACTTCAAACCAAGAACTCAAGAAGCGTGTGAGAGTAAATGAAGAACACACTCAGACAGTCAGACCCTCATAGAGTCACCACTCCACATCTCTCAACCGGACTCCGGAGAAGGAGGCGGAGAGATTTGGAACAGAGGGTGAGAGTAACCGAGTAAGGTCAACGAAGAGAGTAGTCAGAGAGTAAGAGTAGAGAGATGGCGAAGGAGGCGGAAATGGGTTAGGGTTTATTAGGGGAATATATATATAAATATACATGGGCTGGGTACTGGGCTGGGCCTTCGGGTTTTCGGACGCGTCGGTTGGGCAAAAACCAAAGCCCACCCGGCCCACTAATAATTATGGGCGGGTTTCGGGTTTGCTGTTCGGGTCGGTTGACCCTACCCGGGTTGACCCTACCCGGTCGGGTAATATCCGAAATATCCGGTCGGGTATTCGGGTTGGGTCGGCTTTTGCTCAGCCCTAGTTACTATGACAGTCGGAAAAATTCTTCGCCAGAAAAAAGTCTGGCGATTTTCCCAGCACCAACCACCCTCCCCTGCCCCCTGCTCCCCAGCCCAGGCTTCACAGCCACGTCCACTGGCAACACCGCAACCTAAACCCCGCCACAACTGACCTGCCACAACATTGCCCAGCCACCACGGTCGCCGCCTCTGTGCCTACCCCAGAGCCAGTCCCCTTCCCCTGCTTCCCCGTCCCCCCACAGCTTCCCCCCCATCCCCAAAATATTTGCCCCAGCGCCGCCCCAGCGCCGTCCAATGCCGCCCAGCCCCGCGTCGCCTAGCAACTCGCGGCAGCATAAACCATCACCTCCCTGCCTTGCCCAAGCCCCAGCAGCCCCCACAACCACCAGATCTGAAACATGGCGGTGAAATGAGTTCGATGAAGAAACAAAGAAGATGATTCAGAGCAAAGAAGAAGAAGGTATTGCACAGAAAAGAAGAAGGTGACTCATGTTAGCCTAAAATAGGGTTGAAGACAGCCCCAACTCCAACCACCTCACCAGCCTCCCAAGCCCCTGCTACCCCTGCCACCATGGGCCCCGTCCACCACCGTTGCCGCCCCTCCTTCTCCCGTACTCCCAGTCCATAGCCTTGCACAGAATCGCTGCCTCACCCCTCACCCCGCCCCTTGCCGCCGCACAGCACCCCTGCTCGTAGGCTTAGTCGCTAGCCAACCACAGCCCCAAACCACCAGGGTTCAGCCCCTCAATCAGCCACTAGCACACCACCAACACATGTAACCCTAGTCTCCAGTCCACCGCCGTCGTCAGGCTCTATCCACACCCAATCGACGAACGACATCGATTCAAACCACTTTCGTCATCCCATCGCCAGTAATGGCGTCAATGGCTCCTCAATCATGATGGGGAAACAGAGAAGAAGAGATGATGGTTGCAGACCTGCGGTGATGGTGGAAGACGATGGTGGTTGCAGCGATGGCAGGAGACGACGGGAAAGCAGCCGGCGGAGAGGATGCAGTGGCAACCGGTAGATACAAGAGGCGGCCGTCCTTGCTGGTTGTAGAGGCGAGATGGAGATGTTGCTCTGAGGTGGGGAGATGAAGTGCTGAACAGCTTGGGATATGGAGGATTGGAACGTACAGCTCTGGAGACAAAAATTTGGACGGCCAAAAAAGTTAGGGACTTTCGTGATTCGAACTCACTTTTTTGTCTTTCTCTAAATTAGTCACATTTTTGTCCAATGAAACCCTAGAAGTGATATTTAGGCCATTGTTTCTTTTATTTTTTTGTACTTTTTTATTTGGTTAGTAATAGTTAGTAGAAGCAATCAGGCTAATCTGGACGATAATATCCTCGAATGTGTCGCATATTCAACGATAGTCTTACTCAGTATTAGACAATCTATTCTATATCTCATTAGAGAGTGAGAGCGCCTATTGGCTATATAGTGTACAGAGGAAATCTTTGGGTAGACGGTAAGCATGATGAATGGTTGTTATTTTCTTGAGTTTAAAACAAGCATTTTTTTCTTTTAAAAACAAACAAACCCCTCTTCTTACTATGTTCCCCCTCCCTCTCAAGCACCAACGATCAATATTGTTGCTTCACTTGTTCAAATAATCTATTGTGAATTGCTTTGGACACACTCTACCTTTGAATCCCTCACCGAATCCTCTCACAAATCAATCATAGCCATCTTGCCTAGCCATCTCTGTCGATAGAACCATTTCGTCTCAAGTGACTTTATGTGATAATGACATGACCCATCACAGTGTCAACAATCGCAATCCACTCCTTCCTAGCCCTTAGACCGTGGTGGGAGCCTAGCCACCACCCATCCCTTTCCAAAACCATTCCCTGCCAGTCCACTCCCGCCATGTCAGTTATTGCACTGCAACCGTCTAGAAATCCTAACCGCGCCATCTCCGTCGCAATCGAGCAATCGCAAAGGTAGAGTCCATATCAATGGAGCTCCAAATCTAGGGCGAGTTAGTGCAGAGGAAGAAAGGAGAGAAAGATGAGCTAGGTCAGTAGCATCTGTCGTCTCCAAGGTTGGAGAGTGAAAACGCCTTTGCCACTCCGTAATTTCATCGTCGCTGCTCAAGTCCTGAAAGTACAATCTCGTTGTCATCACTAACGACTTCATTGAAACCCCTTTGCCAAATCGCGTCACGGAAGATGAGAGATGGAGGGGGAGAGACCGAGAGAGGCTAGAGATGGAGGATGAAAGGAGAAGGGATATTAAATGTGGTCATTTTTTTTATCAAGGTATATAATGATTTTATTTTTATCTATCTAAATCCTATAAGTAATATTGTTGACATTTTTTCTCTACTTTCTTTGAAAACAAATAACAAATTGTTTCATATAGAAAAAGTTCACTAATATTACTTATGGGAAAGTAATGGACAAAATGTGACTTGATAACTTTAGTGACTTTGATTGTGTCTAAAGATTTACGTGAATGAATAGTCTAAGGCTACAATGAGATGAAACACTAAACATAAAAGATCTTATCTTTGTACTTTTTTTCTTTCTTTTCTATCATTTCATCATTGTACGTTTTTACCTTTTCAAGCGTTGCACTCTTTCCTCATTTCAATAAAATCCTCCCCTTCTTAAAAAATCTCACTAAACATTTCAGATCGCTAACTCCTAATAATGTAGTATAGTCTAGCAATTTTGCCGCCCATCTTGCTACTCCAAAGAAAAACTAAAAAATTACAAACTAAAGATCCAGCTTCATTAGCCAGCACAAAGGAAAATTGATTTTACCAACAACCAACAAAGGAAATTCGACAAAGTAGAAATTGATTGAATCATCAATTTGATCAGTCACTGAAAATGAGATACAAATATACAATTAAACACTACCTTGCTCTTAGGTGTTTAGGAGGAGGAGTAATTGAACCTTCCGAAGAACTAGGTTGAACCCATCTTGTCAACCATGAATAATAAAAATTCGCCACTCAATCGATTACACAAACGAGAAACACACAACTTCTAAACATTGCTGGAAGAAGAACAAATTACAAGCTCACTTGAAGTGAACATTACTCTTGGGTTCAAGATTAAGCCAGACCAAAACTAGAACCCTAGAATGTAAAAATGAAAAGAGCAACAATATAGAACAGTTGATTCATTACTGTCCAAAGAGTTGCCAATTGCCATCGTTGAACCCTAGAAGACTAGGAGATCGGAAATTTTAGGAGGAAATTTTAGGGGTTTGCCGCCTAGGTTTCCGTAGGGCCGGCCAGCCGTCTATCAATCCATACAAGTTTTTGTATTCTTAGTTCTTACTTATGCAGTTATGCACTAGACATTGGTTTTTTATTATTTTTCTCTACTTATTTATTGCATTTCATTTGGGATTTTGGGTCCAATAAATTCCTCGCCTCCAAAAAGGGTGTAGAGCAGCAATTACATATTCACATCCAACTGATCCAAGCGACCATCATGGACTCATGGTTAAATCATCCACACAGCTCTCAAGTCTCAACAAAGCACAATTTCATTCACAAATAACAACAGTGTTAATGAATCAATACAGCAAAACCTATGTAACTATCAACCCAAATATCATACGCATTTTCTTAGGCCATAATGAGCGGTTACTATGGAAATTCAATTTCTTGAAGACTGGAATTCAATCACGCATTTCATAATTCATAGTATGAATTATGAAAGCAAACATTTGGAACTAATGGAAGCCCATTATTATTATATCAAGCAAGTAACTTACTACATACATATTCTAAGCAAACATAGCGCACACGAGAGATTATTTTGTATACACATTACACACCCCAAACACATTTCAAATCATATTAAACATACAGAGCAACCGTAGTTGAGTGTAGAATCTGAGTTGCAAATATGGAATGAAATACACACACATATAAACAAATGTCTTAGCCATAGCAACGGATAGGATCGGTGCATCCTTTATCGGTGGACTGCTTGGAACCAAACCTGCCACCCTTCGCAAGGTACTGCTGGTGATACTCTTCCGCTCTGTAGAATTTCTTTGCTGGCAGAATCTCAGTGACAATCTGCCTGTTGAGAATCTTTTGCTGTTTTTCCTTAGATTCTATGGCCGCCTTCTCTTGTTCGGGTGTGTAGAAGTATATTCCTGATCGGTACTGGGTGCCCACATCACCCCCCTACCAAACAGTACGTGACATTACTGTTACAGAGTATGGTTTATGTAATTGTATGTATTTGAAGTTTAATACTACGTAATTTTTATTAATAATATAATACGTAGTACATGAAAGATTAGTGTCATTTATTTTCTTTCCAGCTAAAAAAACTAGCTGCTGCTCTGCTTTTGGTATAAGAGAAATTAGAAGAAAGAGCTAATGAAAATGTTTGGTAGAAAACCAAACAAATAAAACACAGGATTACAAGACATAGAGCATCTAACTCATCCTTTAATATTTATTTTAGGATTTTGAAAGGCTTACCATTAAGCATTTAATGAATTTCATAAAATAACTAAATAATACAAGAATATTCTTCATATTTAACTCATAGTATTACAACAACAAATAAGTTATCAAATGACCTCATAAATCATTTTTCTTGAAAATTACATAGAATATTCTATCTTCATTTATGCTTAAGCTATGGTAAGTCTTGTCCTTTTCTTTAACTGGAAAAATGAAAACATATTTTCCACCATCTCTATTTTGGTTAGAGAATTGAAATTGACACTTAAATGCACAAAAGAAAAGGGTGGTTCATGACTCATAATAATAGTCGTGCTATGACACAGTAAGCACACAATTAAGGCTCCATTAGGCAGCCATTTCTGAATTACTATGCTAATTAGTAGTAGACTTATTAGAAAAGGATGTTATCAATCGTTTTTATTTCATAACATTATCAAACGTGCCCTAAATTGTTCTTGTCAACAACAGGCTAACCATAACATTAGAAAAAATGATAATAATAAAAAGCAGAACACATTATTAATGTAATAAAGCGATGCACCACGAAAAGTAGAGGGTGTAAAACTTCTAACCCAAGGGGGGGAGGGGGGTGCGGAGCATAAGGAATATAAGCAAACTTTACACTTTTACAGGACATAAAATTTTACCTTTCAAGAAATCCAGCGGCATAAGAAGCATCAAAATTCAAAACACATAATGAACTTATTACTACGTATGTTCTATTTAACTTCCTTTTACCTAACCATTAAAAGAAGCACTATGGCCAATTGATCACTACACTTTATGACTAAATACATCACTTCTTTCTGAGAAGAATAAGGCATATTCCCGCTAGAAATAATCTTTTTTATGTTCCTTTAGCTGCTAGATTCCTTTAGTCAGAGATTAGTATTAGTGGAACACATGAAGACCTACACTTCTCCACCTTACATGTTATTTGACAACTGGGAAGAGCATAATATGAAAATAACATTGCATTTTTGCTGGAACTTTTTATTATTAAACAAAAAACTTACCAAATTATTAATATTAACTCAAACCATAAGTTCTCGCTAAAGTTTTTATCGTTGCCTTTTATTTAATTTTCTATTTGTGATTAGTAGAATACAAAAACTTCCCGATTGAAGATGGTCTCTAATCTCTATACCCGCCCCCGAATCATTTTTCTTGATCCCAAGGAGTTGTTTGGATGAAAGAGAAGACCTTGGAGGGCTTAGTATAAATAGCTTGATAAATATTCCCTCCGTCCCGAAATGAAGTTCCCGGATTGAGTTTCCAACTATACCCTTACTTTATGTCCAATTATAGAAATAGGAACTTCTTTTTGGGACATCTATAAAAGGAAAGTGAGAACTTCTTTTCGGGACGGAGGCATTAAAAAGTTTCTAAGAGAAAATAAAGTGGGACATAAAAGTTATACGATCACCTATTATGCATCACCTTTTATATTTTTCAAATATACATCAAGATAAAGTTTAATCCTCCAAACCTCTCATCCAAAGGCCAAAGTGACCCTAAGAGATGTAATTAAGTAGTTTTGGAATGTAATTTAATAGCATCGATCATCAAATGATATATTCAGAAGCAGTCATTTATAATCCAAGAATTCAATAAAGCTCAGGTAAGCATATCTTTTCAAGAAAGAGAATCATGACTGCTCAAATCCTAATGCTTTCGATCAAAGGAAAAAGCTACGGACAGATTCAACCATAGATCCTAACAAAATCGTTAGGAATTCAAACAGATATCATGCAATCAAAAACAGATTGAGAGATATCCATCACAGTTACCAATGAAAACAAAAAAAATATCAACGCACCTGACGATTGAGTGTAGTAGGATCATGTTTTGCCCAGAAAGCGTCAAGCAGATTCTCGTAGCTGCACTCCTTCGGGTCATACTGGATCCGAACTACTTCCGAGTGCTTCGTACTACCCGTACACACATCCTCATAGGTAGGGTTATCGCGAATCCCCTGGGAATACCCGACCTCCGTCTTGGTAACACCAGGCACTCTCTGAAACGCCAGTTCGACTCCCCAGAAACACCCTGCCCCAAATTGAGCGAACATTTGACCCGGACCCGGTACGTCGTTGTCGGGTCCCTGTGCGATTGCGGAGGAGGTGGAGTCCATGGCAGGATCGGTTGCAGAACGCGCGCCGAAGCCGAGCTTGTTCAGCCAGCTCATCCTTGTGGTGGAGCGAAGCGAGGCGAATCTCGAGGACCCAGAAAAGGGTAAGATCGGGAGAGATATTTGGAATGGGAGGGAGGGTTTAGATAGAGAGAAGAGCGTTGGCAAGTGAGCTATGGCGGAAGCTGTGGTTGATTTTAGCATTTTGTGGATAAACGTTTTGGATGGAAGAGTATTACTCAAGTTGCCAGGCTAATGTGAACTGAATGCAATTCTGTGATTTACGTCATTTCTTTTTTCGAAAAAGATGAAATTCAATATGTTTTCCTGTAATGGTAATGAACTTTTTGTCTGTATTTGTTCCATTTTACGTCATTTATTTCCAATTTGGAAAAATATTTAAATATCTATAAATAATACTAGTACATTTGTGGCTGAAGTTGTTATATTGACCGATTCTATTGATTTATGAAAAAATTATATCAAAAATGTTTTTTTATCATTAAAATAAATAAAAAATTATACGTAGTATGAAAAAGTATCTAAAACGATCCTCTACAATAACTTCATCAACAAATACAACCAAAAAAGTAACTCCAACTTTACCTTTTCTTATTATACACAATTCAAAAGTTACACATTTGGTGAAAAAGCTGACTCATTAACTTTTTGATCATCAAAACGGCTTTTCATTAAAATAGAACAAACACGCAACACCAAATTCAGACAGATTTTACAGATCCGATCGTAAGCCCTAGGAATAGACTTAGAGTCATCCACCCATACAAAGCAACATGACTCGCTAGACACAAAACGGGCAAGAAGAAGCCTAAAACGACCGAAAATGAAACACTGTCTATCAAGAGTTCATCAAAAATAAAAATACTCCGACCACACCCGGTCGAACTGAAATAAAAATAAGTACTGCGAAGGGAAAAACAATACGAAAATAAAAACTTTCCCCAAATTACTTCCTCGCAAGGAGGTGGTTCCGGAGGAGGGCGAGCTGCTGTAGTATGATAGAAGAGAATTTCAATCTCCAGAAAATTCATCTGAGAACCTATCATGCTAATCACCGGAATGGTCACCTTCCCATTGCTCGCCAGTTCTTCTTCTTCGGCACCAATTGACATCTTTTTGTATTGATCACCAATATTTTCCATAAATCTCTATGCCTTACCAAGCCGGCTAAACATTCCAGAACCGCTGCCGCACAGACCAATCTGTCTGCTTCGCTGCTTCGTTAAACCCGTCGAACGCCTCCCGAAGCGCCGCTGCTCAAATCTTCCTCAACGGATCTCACCCCGCAATGATCTCCATAACCTCCTGACCGACCACTTTCATCCACCCTCCAGACTGATCAATAATAACAAATTGGCCGGCCGAAACCGAACCCCGCTCCTACGCTAAGCCGATAGCAGACACACCGAGGCTAAAGATTGCCTCGCGGCAACCCTAGAAAATTCCTAACGCTAAAGATTCCTAAACTTGATAAGGCGAAAAACATGGTTACCAAAGAGGCTCTAAACTTCATCATATCTTAATTCCAATATCCGAAAAACTTCCTAAAACATCTTAAAAACTTCCTAAATTTACGTGGAATTATACCATGTAATTCAAAAAAACATCCTAAAACATCCTACAAATTCTACGCTGCATTAAAATAAAATAGTAAAAATACAATCATGAATTATGAAAATTTTGTTGTGTTTGATTAGAATTCATGAAAGTTCTATAAATTATTATTTGTATAAAATTTTCTCGATGTCTATAGATGAGACATGTATCATACGAGACTAGGTCAAATCAAATCAAATCAGATCACAAAGTGTGTGTAAGTCAAAGCGGAAAGTTGTTTGAGAGGCGAAAAGAGTATAAGAGTCAGGTGAAGATTAAAAGGGGTGGTCAGGGACAGCCCCCCACCTGGATACACCCTCAACGGAGAGATCTTAAAAATAATGATGAGACCAATTAACCGAACAACTTGGGGTGTTTGACAAATAAGAGTATATTTCTTACATTCCATTCCAAAAAGTGTATGTTTTAGAAAATGATTTGTCTAACTCTAAATTATTGTTTTTTCTTTTTTGTAACTTAATAACCTTTTCACTTGTTTTTCATTGTTTACAAAAAATATATTAAAAATATTAACTTTTTATAACCTTTTATATGACACCAATATTGTACTATAATGTTTTTTAAAAAAACTTTTAGGATCTGAAATTCTTAGGATACGAGTGATAAAATTGATATTGAAGTGATAAAATCATGATCTCACAATTAATATTTTTACATCTTTCAATTATTTTTTCAAATATAGGCTTGGAGTAATAAAAAAAAACTAAACTCCAAATTTATTTAATTTACATTGGGAATGTTTGAGTTTTTAAATCATATTAATTCGTAAAAAATATTTAAATAAAATTGATTATAATAATATTCGTAAGGATTTAATTTAAAAAAATTTTCGTGAGTAAATAAGTGTAAAAACACATATAATCTGAATTTTAGTACTTGGATATATTTAAGAAAAAATTTGGGTCCAAAAATGCCAACAGTTTGAACTTCTTAAAAAAACTTTATATATATATATATATATGTGTGTGTGTGATATTGGTGTCATATCAAAGATAATTAAAAATTATGAGTTTTGATATATTTTTTATAAAAAATGGAAAACAAATTCAAAAGTTATAAATATTTTAAAAATTAAGAGATTAATTTTGTTTAGGGTCCCACAACTTGTTGTCATGTATAGATATTTTACACTTTTTTGGAATGGTTTTCCAAAATTTTAGACTCATCATTCTCTCAACAACTTGCGTCGGTACGTATTATTTTTGGGTTGCAAGTTTATATGATGTGTTCGTTGATTCGGCGTTGTGTCGGTAGGGAATCTCAGTCCAATCCACTACACCACGTGTGTTAGCATTGTCCATGCAAAACAAAAGAAATTAAAGATAAAATTATAAAGATATATTCATGTCTATTATATCATGTTGGAGATATTAAATTGTGAATCAAGTTGGTCATAGATTAGCTTTATAATTAATCCTTGTATTTAAATAGTGCATAAATTAGATAGAAATCAGGCCAAGTGTTAGGCCCATTTAAACAGGCCAAAAGCCTGATACGCCTAACCTAAACCTCGCCTATAAAAAGGGAGCCGAGGTTTAGGAAAAGGCTGAACGTCGTACTTATTATTCATAGCCTTACGCTTATATCATTCTGTTGTACGTTCCACGGTTTATCAAAGAAGGTTTTACGGTGATTCATTCTGTGTTCATCTTTACGTTTAATCTTCCTTGTTAGATCGATTATTCATTGCTGTTACAGAAACAGGGACTAACAATTGGTATCAGAGCCGATCGAGAACGATCAGAAGAACTCCTGCAGAATACTCTGTTTTTGTTAACGTAGTTCATTCTGTCGATTTTTGCTCTGTAATTTTGTTTCTTGTTCAAAAGTTGTAAAAGTTACACCTTTGGAATCGCCTCTTCAAAGCGATCAAAGGGTATACTTCAGTTTGTGTTTTACGCAATCTTTGATTTCGAGATATCTCGAGCTAGGCATCTCGACATCCTACTTCTCCACAGGTTCTGCTACGTTTTTCGAGCTGAAAACTTTACCAGAAGATCTCGACACTCAACTCTACAGGAAACTATCTTCAGATTTTGTTTATCTGATTTTTACAGGTTGCAGGATTTCGACATTGAGGATTTCGACATCTAGGATTTCGAAATCTTGATTTCGAGAACAGGACTCGACATCTGGTCTCGACATTTGACTCATCAGATTAAGATTTCGAGAGATTATTTTCTCGACATTTCAAATCTCGAGATCAGCATCTCGAAATTTGAAATCTCGAGATCCCTAATCTCGAGATCCTTAATCTCGAGCCCAAATCTCGATACCGGGCCTCCTTTATCGAAATCTGAGATTTCGATATTCAAATCGCGACATCTGATTTTTCGAGATTCTGCCTCTGAAAATCTTTTGATCAATTTTCTCGAACGGTCAGTTTAATACAGCAATGGGTTCAGAATACAATGCACAAGGGAACGGCAGTACCCCTCCTAGCCTCAGGAAGGGAGAATATCAAATGTGGAGGAACAGATTTCTAAACTTCCTCGAGCACAAAGAGAACTCTTCTGCAATGCTCGAATCCTTGCTTGAAGGACCAGCTGAACTCTTGATTTCAGTTGGTGGAGATCCAGAGAACAATCCTCCTATTTTTCCAGAAATAAGGAGAAAAGTGCCGTCTGAATACACAGAAGCCGACAAGCTCAGACTTCGTGGTGATCTTATGGCCAAAACGTACCTCCTTCAAGCAATACCGAACGAGGTTTATGTTCTCATAGATAGCATGCAGACAGCTAAGGAGATGTGGGATGAAATTGAGAAGCTGCTACAAGGCACAAACATCAGCCTCAAAACAAAGAAGACTACGATTCTCATCGCTTATGACTCCTTCAAAGCAGGTCCAGGAGAACCATTGAATGAGACTTACAACAGACTTGTTCAACTGGTAAATGAACTCAGAAAGATCAAAGTATTCAAGTCCAATCTGGAACTGAATATTAGATTTTTATCTAGCCTACATCCTGCATGGGAAAAGACAGTGAAGGATGTCAGATCTCGGATAGATTTGGACGAAATTGACCTCTGCACACTCTATGAACATCTGAAGCAATTCGTCAACGAGGTTGCCTGCGCTGAGGATCATCACACCACAAACCCCTTAGCTCTTGTAATGGATGCTCAGCCTAGAAGGACAACCACTTCACTAAAGAAGAAAAAGAAGAAGGTGGTGGTTGAATCAGATGATGATGAAAGTGATGATGACAAATCTGATCTAGAGGCTGAGCTAGCAGACTTACAGAAGAAGATGGCACTGCTGGCCAAAAGATTTGCTAAGAAGAACACCTCCTCCAACAGGCTGAGAACTTCCTCCTCAAACTACAAGCAGAAGAACCATGATCAAGGATCTTCTAGGAAGGCATCATCATCAGAAGAAGCTCCTAAATGCTATAATTGCGGCAAGCCTGGACATGTGATCAAAGACTGCCGCCTCCCAAAGAAGAAAGATGCTAACTTCTACAAGCAGAAGATGCTGTGGAATAAGCAGAAAATGCTGATGGTGCAGAAAGAAGAAGAAACCTCTGCCATGATTGCTGAAAATGAGAACTGGGCAGAAGATTCTTCTGAGGAGGAGGAAGAGGAAGACAACTATGCTCTTATGGCAAGTGTGGAGGGAGATGAAATAAAGGGTGATGCTGCGATCCCCGAAAGCAAGTGCTCAAGAAGCTCTGTAAGTACCTCCCATACTTC